TATACTTGGTTCGAGTCTATGACTGGGACATATTACAATGAGTTTCTAAGTGCTTTTCACCCCATTATAAAATTTTAAACATTTAATGGGACAAATGAATCCCGTTAGTTGCCAAAGGCTAAAATTTTATGTTATCAATTCTTGCTCAATCAGACTTGTTAGAGGGTATCAAGCTTTGACTGCTGATTGAGCTTTACGTTGTTATGAATTTATGCTTATCTTTACTTTACTAATGGGATTCCATCTATAATTGATATCCTAATTATTCAAAAATTACTGGTAGTTACTAATATATATTAAGATAAGAATTTATAATCAAATTAATGGATAAGAAACTCTTTCATTTAAGCTGGAAAATAATTAATTTTACTAGCTTTTTAAATTTAATGTATAATAATCATGTTTTGTTCAACGCCTAGTATTTTTTCAAATTATTAAAGAAATTTAGTTTTCTCCAATCATATTTGAAATAAACTCGTACGTGGGAACGCCGACTTTTATTCAACCGGGCGTTTCTTAAAAACTATTAAACAAGATAGACAGTTTACAATGTTCATTATTCGACTCACGTATGAAATATGAATATTTTTAAGATAAATATTTTAATATTTCAATTTATTATGAAAATACTACTCGTTTAATAACAATCCAAAGAAGTAATTAAATTTAAAAATCATTATTGAAATTTTTATTAATCTGAGTAGGGAACTCCTCTAGTTTGTTTCTGGGCAATACTATATAAATAAAACAAATGTACATGAATATGAAGAATGACAGAAGAGCCAGTGGTTCCACGAAAAGTACATTTCAAAAAAGAAGGCGTTACGTTCTAAAAGGAGGGCGTTACCTTCAAAAAAGAAGGCGTTTTTTCCCGACAAAATAAGCATATTCTACCACGGTTAGAGTTAACTATTATACATAAACTGAAGTACCCTCATGACTTTTGAACGGTTGGGCGGATTTTCTTTCTGTAGATTGCTATGACAATATCTCAAAAAATGTGTTAAGATATTTATAACAGTTAACTATAACCGTGGCGAACTATGCTTATTTTGACTTCCAAAAAACAATCCCTTTTTCTGAATAAACATGTATATATATATATATTTCAGTCATCACTTTTCACAGTTTCTGGCTCGCGACCAATCCCTATATTATATACATTAATTTACTAATATTATTTTCTCATAGCACTTTCAATGTCATTGCCGAAGAGAATGTCAATGTTAAAAAGAAATAGGTCTTTAATAGGTATTTATTGAGGACAATATTTTTAATTATTCATTGTTGTCAGCTTTTAAAGAAACCTTTCTCTTTAAAAGCTGCCAAAAAAAAGGCTTCGGGATGGGCGAGTCATAAATGTATTCATAAGGAATCAGTAACAGGATGTTAAAAAATAAAAAGCGGTAGCTTCAGTTTGGGGATAGCTAATTTGACAGACTTATTTTTGCTCTTACTTTAAACCTAACACATCCAAACCACGTATGTTAAAAGTATAACTATAAAATTTTTTATTCAAACTAAGTAGTGGTCATAAAATAAAGCAAACTATCATTACCCCGCCCACAAATAAAATGCTATAACAAGTTTGGCTACCAAGTTTTATCTTTTTTACCCTGATTATCGCCACCCTGAGAATGCCTATAAGACTCGCCCGTCTCGAAAACGTTAACGGATAATGAGCTTAAAAGAACTAATGACAGGGATGCCACAGGCGACTAAAAGGGTAAAATGTGGTGACTAATAAAATTACTATTAAAACTAATTCCTCTTCCTCTTCTTCAGCACGACAGCCCCTTACAGGCCTTGGCTGCCTCAACCACACGTAGGCTCCAACGCCTCCTATCCAGGGCGACTTTTTTCCAGTTGTTAATTTTATTACTTTCAGATCTTTAGTAGTGTCATCCAGCCATCTAGTTGGAATCAGCGGTGAAAACGAGACGGAATAGGGGAAAGGCTGGTAGTAAAACTATTTCGGTTATAACTAGTTTTCGGGAGGAGTTAACTTATTCTTTTTAAAACTATTCAACAATATCCACATTATCCGTGGAAAATATGCAGTTTTTTACATATACTAAAATTATAAAAGAAATCATGATAGTTACAGATATTTTATTTTTCTCTAAAAAAATGCTAAAATGAAATGTCTTTCGCACCAGTTTTTGCACTTTTCCGTCTTGCTATATAAGGGCTTTCAGCCATGGTTAGAGATCTTCCTCTGGCCCGAGATCCAGAAGGATTTTTAAACGTGGCGATTCGTACTGCATTGTTTTTTGGACATTAAAACTAATTATTTAAGATAGTTAAAGACTATTAAAAATAATTAATAAAGATAATAAGCTATAAAAACAGATTGAAATTAATAGCTTTTTCTAGCATATTTATTTTAATATGCCATTGATTATTGCAAAGAGCATTGGAATCACATACATTGGCAGACTTGTGTACTAAATTAAGCCTTATAAATCTTTGTCAAATAGAAGGACGGATAGCACAGAGCAGAGAAGGGCTGCACGAAGATACATCCAGGGTAACACGGGAATCGAACACGCTACCTCCACGCTTTGTACAGAGTTTGGAGAGCGCTGAATATGAATAATTTACAATGTCATATAATTTCATGTTGGTAGATACGAGTGAATGATTAAATAAATAAAAAATGAATTGTGTCTCAACCACTTCAAAATTTTTAGTCGCCTGTGTCAACCCCACGACAATTACATATCAAGATCAAGCCAGTGTGGACATATTAAGCTCAACAGACTCTTTTAGTTGCAGTAAATTTCATTTTTTAAGCCACCATTTTAACCTTTAGAGATATAGTAGCTCTTACTTCTCATGCAGATATGTTTTCTTTACAAAATAACATAAAATGGTGAACAAATTTATTGAATGAGCAAATTTCGTCTAATTTTCATTGCCGACTATTAATAGTTTCTCTTAAAAAGTTTATGGAGCTTGATATAGATTTTAACTGCTTCGGATTTGACAAAATATTTAAAAAAAACGGTAGGGAACTACAGACCAAAAGTTGCAGATTCGCAATTAATTTTGCCAACTTTTTAACAGCTCAACACGGCCTAACCGTTACATAGTGGCGTATCAGAAAAGTCTTTGAATTAATTAGAAGTAGTGGTGAGTAAAAACTCAGTAAATCGAATTTACTAAACCAAGATTCATACATTCGAAGATATTTATCCACTCTCCGGGGCAAGATGGCATCTCCACTGATACAATTGTTAATTTTAAAGCCATCACTGTTTACCAAAGTAATATTTTAATGTAATTGTAGTTTACGGGTTACCTTCCTTACGGCATTTGCTTTTCCAGCGAAACTAGTCACCAGAAGGATATCTGTGTTTGAAAATTTTATAACTTAAATTGGAGAAGAAAATCTGATGAAGACTAGAGTTAAGTTCTAGTTTATTTCTTTATTTAAATAAACTATCCCATTCATCATTAACCCGTTTTGTCCCAAATTTATAAATTGAAATGAAACAAAATGTGGTTTTATGGAAAAAGTGGTATAATATATTATCGAAAGTAATTGGTTTTTCTACTGTTGAGGCATTCAAAATGTCTTTGATAGATCAAAAAGTACTTGTTCCTTAGAATTCTAGATCTAATCAGAAATAACTAAATCATTGTGGTATCTGAGAATCCTTTAATTCATCCAGATAAATGAAAATACTGAAAATAGTTTCTCACCACAATGAATGTTTTTGAAAAAAGGAACTGTCCTAAATATATGACGCTGGGCATTAACCAGTTAAATTAAGTTCTAGTGAAACAAAACAGTTTAAATATATGTTAAAATTATTAAAAAATATTGGTAATCTTTCATATTTTATTTTATAACCTTCGCTGAACAGCTGGCTCAATTTTGAGTTTACGACTGTGTCGATGTTCAACTCCGTAGACCTGCAATTTTGAACCTCAAGTAGTGAGTGAAAGTAGATTTCGTGGATAACTTTTTAATGGGACTAGCCAACGCCTCCTCTAACTGAAGGCCTCCACACGGTTTTTTATAGGTAGTCCGATCAGACCACTGTGAAGGACATCCACGTACCGAATGCGTCGTTTAATACAGAATATAGTTAAAACAAGAAAGTGGAAGCAAATATATGCCTAAAAATTTCTTTTATTTATGAATATTACTGGTTTGCCTTCTTCACTTGTCAACCACTAGAGATTCAATTCTCAAATATATAAGATAAATTTCTCTCAATTACTTTTATAAAAGGTTTTGGGTTCATGCACACAACTGGTTCACTTTTTAAACAGTCTGCGAGGACTACTTATAGAAGACCGTGTGAAGGCTTCTTGTTGTAGGAGGTGATGGACTAGCCCTCATTTGCATTACATCAAGACAGAAAGCACGAAAACCACCCACGCTAATAGTGGATGGTTTTCGTGGCAAGGGGCAAGGTTAGGTATGGGTTTGCAAATCGTGCAGGGCTGCCAATTTTCTACGCTTTTTGTTAAAAATTATTCTAGTTGTGTCTGAGTTTATGTTTCAATATTTTTTTTTATTCATTAATTTTTTTTCCTCACCACTACGCATAAATGATTAGTAATTTCAGATGCAACGCCATATTGCTCCATGTCTCTCGAGGTAAGACTACGTCGGCACTGTGGTTGCTACGCTCTGTCTCCTGAGCCACTACGGCTCAGTCCTGGTTACTGTACTCTCCCCGAAAAAACCCCCCATCTAGATTAGAATGATTTTCTTTTCAGTTTTCCCTTTTTCGACCACTATAAACTTTCAGTCCTGGATGTGGTTAAGCATTAGTTTAGAACTCCTGAAAAGTACGTGTTTTAATGCTTGGTTGGTTGTTTGCGAATTGAATTTATATGAGTTGGAGTAAAGGGATGTGACTCAACGAAGATTTCAGTCTTGTTTTAATAAATTAAATTTAATAAATTTGACAATCATTGCATGCGGACAATTGCCATCGAATTATTTCTTTGTTAACCAATTTAAATGTATGCTTACTTACGCTGCTGCGTGAAACTTTTCTTTCCATTCCTCAAACGCATCTTCATCCAATTCCTTCACAGCTAAGCATAAAGTTCTCAATCCATCACTAGCAAATTTCTAAAAAAAAAGATTTTAAAGGATTACTTCCATCAACTCACATCCAAATTTTCACTATTTTCGACAAAAAGTTTCTTCATATGGTAGAACTATAATTACCAAATAACAGTAGTTCTCAAAAATATATATTTTTATTTTGACTACTTTGAATTGTTGAAGATTATACTTATATACATTTTTTGAAATTATTTTTATGTAGTGGTGGTTACACTCCTTCATAATTATTATTATAATTAAAAATGTTTAACAGCTTCGCTACCAATATACATTTGGAAATAAAAGATATTTCACACCTTAACCCTATATTTAGCTTCCTGAACTTAGATGGTATTATAACAGCATACATGACAACTTTTAATCCTCTCTAGTATGATTTTTCTCAGTGGTAGTAAAATGGAATTAAAATTTTATTTGTAAGCAAAAAAATGCGTAGTATTTGAAAAAGCTTTAGCTGACAACCATGATATTTACACAAATTAATATAAATGCTTTATCAAAATCATTTTAAAATTATAAAAGGAAAAAGTTTTTAAAAGGAAAAATAGTATATATTTAGTACCATTTTGAATATAAAAGTAACATTTTACGCCAAATGCGCAAAAGTTGGCAAGTATGTAACAGGTAGATACAATAGACAGCTCCCCACCCTTCTTGTTACTCATATGGATACTCCCGAGAAGAGAATAGGAGCAAAAGTGATACTCAATTCGGGAGTATACCATCCCTACATATGTAACTAATTTATCCCCTTTAGATGATTAATTTGTATTAAAACTTAACTCTCATTATCAGAACTTATTAAGTTTTTCATATATTTATCTTATCTTTTACTTATAAATCATTACATTAACTGTGTAGCAGAGCATGCAACCTCAGCGGCCAACTGCCTCATTTATCTTCAATTATCTGTGATAACAGCCCCTGGGCAAATTGCAGAAGAAGAAGTGTGGTGCCCTCTGCCGCGGGCAGTATCTATTGCTATATCTTTTGACTCAGGGTCTTCAAAAACAATTTTTCAGTTCGTAATTTATTGCCAGTCCCTCAAACTTCCAAAAGCTTTAAACTTTAGTGATAAGTATAAGAAATCGCATAACGTAAGTACTTTAACCCGTTTTGTCCCGAATTTATATATTGAAATGATACAAAAAGTGGCAAAATATATTATCGAAATTAATTGGTTTTTCTACAGTTAGAGCATTCAAAAAGTCTTTGATAGATCAAAAAGTACTTGCTCCTTACAATTCTAGATCTAATCAGAAATAACTAAATCATTGTGATATCTGAGAATCTTTTTAATTCACCCAGATAAATGAAAATACTGAAAAAAGTTTCCCACCACAATGAATGTCTTTGAAAAAAAGAACTGTCCTAAATGTATGACGCTGGGCGTTAACCGGTTAATAAGTAAAAAAATTTCTGAGTATTTCCTTAGAAATATGATTAGGCAGAGAAGTGTTTCCATAACTTCTTCTGTTATTAACGAAACTATTGTAACTGTATTGATGTGATATCCATTACTTAAGCTTGTTTGTAATGCTTAGTAACGCTAGTAAGTTGCCATTATTTAGCTGATGTTTCATTGAATTAGAGTGTCATTTATTGTATATTAATTTTATTTTTCAAATTTTAGTGGTAGATAAACAAAATATTTTATTGAATAAATTGAATATGCCATCTATGAATGTATATATAAGAGAGAGAGAGAGTCGGCAAAAATTAAACAATTAAAAATATTGGATCACTTCATTGTTTTGAATGGTCGGTCGGATTTTCATTCAGTAAAGTATCTCAAAATAACCTTTTAAGTTGTGTTTAACGATTAACTGTAAGCATGGTGGTATATGTTTGATTTAAATGTTGCAGTTCTGATACGACAAATAAACTTTGCTTAAATTGAAACAAAGTTTAGCTTGTTGTTGTCGTTGCTGTCGTAGGCTGTTGAGGCAATGGGAGCGATTGTTCTTGTTTTCCAGTGGCGCCATCTAGGGCAAAGAATTCGATTTCTGTCACACCCGTTTATAGGGCGGACGTCCAATTTTGGCAAATATTTTACCAACCTAAAATTTAGAATTACGTGCTACACCTGTATGTATATTATGCAATGGTACGTTTTGAAAAGCCATATTTTATGTCTTACTTAAAACTTAGCTGTGTCATAACAATAATAATTTTATTTAATATTTATTTTGGTAGTATACACTTTTCTCATATCGTTATTGACAAGAGATTCGATAGAATATCTTTCTATTTTACTTCGGACTTACATTTAAATGTTCCAAAGTCTTGAATTTAAGTTCGGCGCAACTTTCGTCCAGCCGTTCAAAAATCACAGAATCTGCCCCTTTGCAGTATAACTTCATTACACCGTCTTTTTTTAATATCACCTGAAAAAATAAACAGAAAATTTAATTAAAATATTAAAAATTTATACACTCTATTAAGAGAGCGAATTTTGATTTTTTAATTTGTAATCTTGTAAAATATTTGAGAAAAATGTTAAAATTTTATTTTAAATGAACGCTTTGGTATATCTCACTACCACTGAAAAGCCTACGCAAAAATCATATATTTTCCTACCAAAGTACAAAAAGTCTAAACATTTAACTTGTTATATTATTACCAAGTTTCACAATGTTCACTTGTATGCAAATCGCTAATCTATATCATATGAAACGTCAATTAGTATAGTGTCACAAAACAGATGAAATTTCTTTTTTTTACATTGACAACGGAACCAAGTAATTGAGCTATAATATAATGTATGCGAGCTTTTTATCGAAACTTGAGGGTGCTTAATCGGTATTTTTTTGATTAAATATTTGCACTCCCTGCAGGATATATATCGGAATTCTTACATGCTCTGGGCATATCGGGCAATATGCGTTTCGAAACCTGGTAGATACGAATCAACTAAAACTATATACAGCCATATTATTAGACTCACTACAGGATTCTATGTAAAATTACAATTATCAGGTGGTACTATACAGCTGCATTGTTTTTACTTGGTTTGCATTTGTTTACTCTCCTGTATCAATTATTGAACATTGTAATGCAATGCGTTAAAAATAAATACAAATAGGAAGCATATAAGTATATAAAAAAATCTCCTGAATAAAAACCCATTAGATGTATGTTTAAATATAAAAGTACTGTTTATAAACTCGTGCAAATCATGTAATTATTAAAAAACTACAGTGCGTCTAATAATTTGATCCATTTATTATAATATACTAATATAATGCTTGATATAATAAATATTCTATATTATATAGTTTAATCTATCCTATCGTCAAATTTATATTATATATCGTCTAATTTGACCAATTGATACATTAACGTAAACAATATATATATATATATATATATATCCAAAAGAGAACCGTTCAGAACTGTTATAGACGCTTAATAAAATGATTATTAGAGAAAACATATTTCTTCATTAAAGAATGCANACATATTTTTGGTTAATATATATATATATATATATATATATCTTTTTTTTCGCCATTTAAGAAATTTACAGATCGTAGCAACCCTGATGAACGGATCTGGTCCATTCGAAACACTGTATCAAAAAGTCAAGCGATTCATGTAGTTTTAATTATAACTAGAAATATCAAACTCACAGACATTCTTTTACGGACGTTATTAAAATCGAGAATACAGTAGAGTTCGTAAACTTCTTGATGTCCCATCACTTCAATGAGTACAGAGGCTGGTGTACGATTCTGAAAAGAAGGAACAAAAAAAAGGAATGAGCAAGATCAAAACTAGAAAAATACTGCCTGGCAAACACGAGTTGAGTTTTTCCCGAGGTTGTTGTCAGTGAGATTGGTTGTTCATCTCGTGTTCACCAGACTATATAAATTACTAAATCATGTGTTTATAAGTCACGTGAGAGTTAACTCACTCGAAATACGAAACCAAAGTTGCGAGCCGCTGACGTAAGCGCTTCTTCATCTGGTGACTGAGCTTGGTATTCTAAAATTCCCCCTAAAAAGTAAAATAATTTTTTTTTACGAAAACTGAAATATAATAGTCAACCGGTGAGAATATCAAATTAAGATATTGTTTAATTTATATGAATAACTTTGGTGATATCATATGATTTTTGAAAATAATATTTTCATGGATGAAATTAAATTGTCGTAAGCTGATTAAAAAATTCGATTCTTTGCTAGCATGGCGTTTTGTTATGCAATCATTTTGCCAATCGTACGGCATTTTGCTATGCGATTGGTCAAGAGGAAAAATTCTCCAATATATTTTTTTAAGCTGCCTGATTTAACGAGGCTCGTTAAAATCAGCCTCAATGCCTCTAGGTCAGGGATGGCGAACCAGAAGATTTACTGAAATTGAAATCGCTTTGTCGTATTGTAATGCAGGGATTCCAACTTTATACGCTTTTTGTAAAAAATTTATTCAAGTGGTTCCTAAATTTATGCCGTAATGTATTATCATTTTTTATTCTTTTGAATTAATTTTCCCCACCACTGTACATAGATGATTCCAAAGTTCATATGCATTGCCACATTGTGCATCACTATCGTGGTGAGGCTTTGAAAATATTGGTCAATTTACCAAAAATTCCGTAAACTTTGGCTTAAAATATATTTACCACTCAATAAAATGTATTTAAATAAAAGCGTAGTAGTTGACGGGCCTGGTAATGCATTTAAAATAAAGTTTTTAAATATGAAACCTTCACTACTTTGAATTTATTACCAACTACCTGAAATAAATCCAAGGATTTTAGCAATTACTTGTAAATTTTCTAACTGACGTAGGCATTTTGCTATGCGACAAGCTATTTGGAAAAGTCTAATTGTTTTCTGATATGATTTAATATTGTTTCTGCTTATTGCAATCAATCTATAAGTCCTTAGGCTATTAAGGAAAAGTGCGAAGATTTATTCAACCAGACTAAATTTTCTTAGGCTTATTTCAATATTTTTAGAAAAAGTTCTTTATATTGCATTAAGCTTTCACTACACTGGTCTTATTGCAAACTGTCTGATAAAAATACAAATCAGGCTACTTGAGCAGGGGATGATATTTTTTCTTACTATCCTGAATGCATTCATGCTCACTAAATTATGACTAAAATGTTTTAGACTGATGATTAAATACTAGATACTTTTCTAATTAGCCTGGCGGATTGCAAAATGACGGCAAATGTTTGCAAGTAGCTGGATTAGCCTACGGCATATGCAAATATGAGATAAATTATCGAATTACCTGGTTTCTCTTCAGACATGACAGTATGGCATAATGCAAGCAGTTTGAAAAATTCGAAGACATTTGGATCACCGCTCTTGATGTCGTCCACTAGGTTATTGTCATAGAACTTGAATTTTTCTTCACGCAATGGATTAAAAGATAGATCCACCGGCTTCGAGTCCTGTCATGGAATCACAGAAAAATATACTAACACGTAGAATGCCAGGGGGGTCACCGGTGACCGGCACTGAGTTTGTTCGTGGCGCCACGGGGGTCACCGGTAACCAGAGAAGCCAAGATTATTAGAAACACATAATTCGAGTAAATTTTTATTTTACTTTTTATTATTATCTTTACTAAAATGGTTTGACGACATTAATGCAATATAGATTACACAAAAATATTTTTATTTATATACATAGAGACACCAACTTGCTCGGGACAGCGAATAAATATTTTCAAGTGGTAGTTTGTTAATTGTGGTTCTTTGTTTAATAAATTCAATTTAGAAGATTTTGATCCACCACTATTTCTAAACAATTCGTAGGTTTATATAATTTACCACTTTTATTTGATATGTTATGCTAAACCTTTTTTTATTTATTTTTTTAATTTCCATTGAGCTGCACAATCGGTCTTGCCGATGAGCAGACCTAGTGCGTTCTCCAGAGGTGGTATCCACTCTTTCAGGACCACCACAGTGGGTGAGATACCGTTGGTCATGTTAATTTGGACGTCTAGTTTCTGCCACACTAGATGGCAGCACCGAGACTCTATTTGGATGCTAAAGTGCACTAGGAATTTAATTTTGCCGGAAATGCCAAGAGCCAATAAGGCACTCCAGGGATCTTTTACATGCCGCATAATCATACGACATGGCCGCTGAGGATTTTCTGCATCCCGAAAATCCGGTGTCTGGGCCGGGGATCGAACCCGGAGGCTTGGGCTCAGAAGGCCGACGACAAACCAACTGCGCCACCCAGCCACCTTTCCAGCCAGCCATGCTAAACCTTTCAAAATAAATAGCAAATTTTGTCTAATATTTGCAAATTTAGTTTGTAGTTATTTACCGTTAGGCCACACGGGCAAGCCATGTATAATTAGCGTGGCATTCAACGTGCTAATAAATATTTTTTATTCTATTATACAATACATGAATTATTGTTGGAAGACATAATTATAAAACTTAAATTTGCGTTTAAGCACATAATTGAAAGATAGGTCGACCGGTTTCGTGCCCCGTGATAGAATTATTTATTAATAACTAATACACTGCAGAACAATTCTTTTTCTGTTTAGTGGGAATTTTGAACGGATCTCCGGCATTTTTGCGTACCTCATTTTAGCTCTACATTTGGTAACTCTCCACAAGCTACAATTTTTATAAACCTAAAATTTACCCTCATGAATACTGAGTCCCTACTTCTCTCTTACATAAGGAGTAGTCGGTAGAAGGTGATAATTAAATTCAATTTAAGATTCGATACGTCGGGATCATTTGTTTTTTGTTTTAAGTGCTTTATTCATAGGAGCAGACAAGTGAATATGGAAGTATATAAACCTATATGTATTTTATGATTTATAAGTCTGTACATTTAGACAAATAAATATACTAAACTAAAATCATCAGTCTGTAGCTTTCCGAACAAAGCTAATTTCAGATTTAAAATTCCTTCTACTCACGAACTAGACAGTAGATGTATAAACGCAATTTTTTTTCTTCAGTGTCATTTCCATCTCTAAAGATCTTTATTTAATATGATAGGGTTGTAATTAATCTCGAAAATAACAAAATGGAAAAAAATGAGAGAGAGCGAGATGCTGCCAGACATGAATTGAAATATTTATTGTGAAATATCAAAACTTCTAAAAAGAAAAAAATAATTGAAGATAGATAAAAATCATTTCATATTTTAACTGTTATTTATTTTAACTGTTGTTTATGACATAAATTAATCGTTATAGGTTGTTAACAAGTAAACTTACTTTTTGTTTATTGCTCCCTATTGTACCACAAATTTTGTATTCCGAAGGTGAAGAATTTTTTTTCCCAACCGCATTTGATTATTTCTCAAATCCATGTAATCGTTCATTTCGTAACTGTTAGCTTAAAGTAAGTTACATAATAATATAATTTTTAATGCAAAAATTTAACAAACCAAAATTTTTTAAACCACATGATTATTTTCTTTTAGATATTGACCTGAATTACTAAATAAATAATCCCAAGAAACTGAAGTGGTAAGATATTATTCACTGAAAATTTCATTCATTTCAAAAATATATAAAAACTTGAAATAACAGCTGACACATTTTAAGCGCTCAAAAACAGGCACCTATCTTCCAGACTTACTGCCAAACGTGAATGCAACAAAACAAATATGATGTAAAATATGTGATATAATAAAAATGTTAAGTTGCCAACAAAAAATGGAAAAATAAAGACTAGAAACGAAACTGAAAAAACCACAGTAGCCAGGGGGGAAAAAGTTTAAAAACGGAACAAGTGATGTCACAGTGACTGAGAGAGGCAAATCAGGGTAAGATACCTTTCCCCTCATCATCAAGAGGTTAGGAGAAACTAATGTCGTTAACAAAAGAATAAGCATTCAACCAAATAAAAAATTCATATAAATTATTCATAAATCTCTTTTGTTTCTTCTTATTCATGCTTGATAAGTTTTGAAAATGGACGCCTGTTTTTGAGCGCTTGAGAAATGTCGACTGTTATTTACAATTTGTGTTTTATGAAACGAATGAAGTTTTTAATCAAGCAATTGAATTACTGTTTAAAAAGATAGATTTGTAAAAAATCAAATAATAATTATTAATTACCTCGTTGATTACCATCGGTTCTCCAGTGACCTCATCGATGACGTCACCGTATAGCTTTCCATTGATGGAACACTTATTGAAAGTCATGATGTTCTGGGTGAGTGTTCCTGTCTTGTCCGAAAAAATGTATTCGATTTGTCCGAGTTCTTCGTTTAGGGTGGTGGTGCGTGCTTTGGCCGGTGTGTCGTTGTGAGCGTAGTACATTTTCTCATCCCAGTTAATCATCAAACTGTGCCAGAAACGGATCACTTCGACGCTGCAAAAGTAAACATACTGTTTTCAATAACAATTACTGACAGTGCTTTTTTAATCGCTTCAATAAAAAAATAATTTGTAAGAAAAACTGCAAAAAAATCATCATATTTAGATATTTTATTATTCAAGATAAGGAACCACTCTCTAAATTTCCACGAAACCAACATTATTCAAGATAAGGTAGGAAGGTGCTTTATTTTCGTCGCACTAAAGCTATACAATGGGCTATTGGCAATGGTCTAGAAAACATCCTCGAGGATGATCCGAAGACAGGCCATCGCACTTTCGATCCTCTGCTGAGAGGTTGGCTCCCCTGCTTTGGTAGACCGACGACTTGCGTGCAATGTCGAGCACTTTACGCACGAGCACTGTAGAGAAACGCAGTCCCTGAAAATAGGCTTGCCACCTGTAGAACTGCGGCATTCATGAACTAGTCTTCTGGCTTTACTCTCAGTAATTTTGTCATTTCGACTAAAGGATAAACGGGTTGTTTTGCTGTAATGGTCACCCAATAAATCCGCAGTGACCCTATCGTTCCGAGGAATGTCACCCTAATGTTCCAGAATGGTGTTTAAGTTTTCTCTTAGCGGTTTATGTTTTCCGAGACCCTTGGTAAGTTTCCATAACCTGGTGCCAGATGTTCTGATATCCAATTTTTTGCAGAAATCCCTGCACTTGCTTCTCTCTAGGTCACTATAAATGCGTTTGATTTTCGCATTCAAGGTCTTGAGATTTGACCACTGAGAATCAGTATCACTGTTGATTAGGATACTGTGTTACCTATTTCTTTCTTCAATATGGGGTTTAACCGGTTAACGCCCAGTGTCCTCAATTGAGGACAGTTCCTTTTTTCAAAAACATTCATTGTGGTGGGAAGCTTTTTTCAGCATTTTCATTTATCTGGGTGAATTAAAAGATTTTCAGATACCACAATGATTTAGTTATTTCTGATTAGATCTAGAATTATAAGGAGCAAGTACTTTTTCATCTAACAAAGACTTTTTAAGTGCCCTAACAGTAGAAAAAACAATTAATTTCGAAAATATATTATACCCCTTTTTCCATAAAAACACTTTATGTACAATTTCAATATATATATATATACGGGACAAAACGGGTTTTTCCCCTAGAAATGCATTGCTTGGCAGCATGAATAATAACTTGCTTAAAATTGGACCAGCAAGTTTCGATATCACCAAATTGGCCAGGGTTGATAAATGCTTGATCAGTCAGCTTTTCAAAGGATTGCCAATCAGCCTTTCCAAAGTTCCAATGATAATTTGATGAATTTGCTCCTATCTTGCTTCTATTAATTTCGACTAGGATAGGTAAATGGTCGCTGCCCATAGCTATCAAGTACTTTCCAGCTACAAGAAGGAAAGATATCAGAGCTGGCAAAAGTAACATACAATGCCGCAGTCTCGACAGATTTAACGTCCATCAGTCACCATTTACTACACGCGGAGTCTTCGGCCGATGGGGATCCAATCCACGAACTCTTGGACATGGGCCTAGTGTCCTACCAACAAGGCTATCCCGGCCCCCTTTATTGTCTATAGTATAAATTTGGTTCTTGATAATAAAGGTCGACTTCAGGTGGTCAACTTCAGATGTTTTACTGTATATTACTTTTTCAAACGTCATGTACCTTGTCCCAGTCGTAAATGATAATCTGTATCTGCTTTTATTTGATATTTTAAAAAAATGGTAGTTTTACCCACATCTAACAAAAATTTATTACTATCTTTTAGTGTAGAATATTCATAACTGAATCAAATTATTAAAATAGTCTTAAATGATAAAAACGCTTTTCATAGAATACCGAGGAAAATCTCACCTTACATAGAGAGATATAGGCACGACGGTATTCATTACGATTCCATAAGAGAAAAATACAAGTACAGCTGTGACGGTGGCTCCACCTGTTATTGTTTCAGGCACTGCTGAATCCCAAGGCAAATATTCACGGAAATGTTGACCTGTTACTGTTTCCCATATACCACAGGCCACAGTACAAAACAGGCAAAGACTCATTAGAAAAAACACGATCTACAAAGAGAAAGAAAATCTTGTTAGAAGATTAAAAAAACTGCAATAAGATTAACGAAAATACTCAATTTTCTTCATTGATTATAAAATGAAATTTCATACGAATCAGCAACCATAATGATGGAAAACAAGAAAGATATTTTGTTAACTTAACTTTCTGATATTAGCTTTTAAATACCAATCTATTCTATAAAGTTAGAATTTAGAATAAAAACTCCTTTCCAATTTTGTTGTCTAAATCTCTTTTGAGGTAGAAAAAAAAGTTTATCTAATATTCGCTAAATTTATATATANCCTTACATAGAGAGATATAGGCACGACGGTATTCATTACGATTCCATAAGAGAAAAATACAAGTACAGCTGTGACGGTGGCTCCACCTGTTATTGTTTCGGGCACTGCTGAATCCCAAGGCAAATATTCACGGAAATGTTGACCTGTTACTGTTTCCCATATACCACAGGCCACAGTACAAAACAGGCAAAGACTCATTAGAAAAAACACGATCTGCAGAGAGGAAGAAAATATCGTTAGAACAATAAAAAACTGCAATAAGATTAACTCGTTGAACACCGCGTCAGAAATCGGTGGCTGACACTGGACTTTCCATTTAGGCAGCGTCAACCACCGGTGGCTGACACTGAAATCACATTTAGGCTGCGTCAACCACCGGTGACTGACACTGAAATTACATTTAGGCCGCGTCAACCGCCGGTGGCTGACACTGAAATTACATTTAGGCTGCGTCAACCGCCGGTGGCTGACACTAAAATTACATTTAGGCTGCGTCTGCCACCGCTTGCTGACACTGACCTTTCACATAAGCCGCGCAAAACAGCAGGCTGACAGCGTATAACATGATATAGAATAATAAAATTTTCACTCTTTTATGGAATTGTAGAAAATTTATTCACAATTTACTTAATTATTGCGATTCTTGGCTTTATAAATTCAATTTAGTACATTTTTATCTATCACTATTTTTAAGCAATTCATAGTGTTATATAATTCACCACTTTCAATAAGTATGTCATTCCAGTCCAAGCCTTTGCAGAGTGCGGTTGTATTATAACCAGCTCTGTGCGAATCATGTCTCATCGAACTGCTCGCGGCGGAAAGGTTAGCCCTACCGCCCACGGACCTCATCTTTTGATGCTGCATCTAAGTTGGATAACGGTATTTACCGCCCAGCGACTATGATATTTGGCAAACTTGAGACCATCTACTCTCGATTACTTCTGATCTAGAAGAAATGAACAAACTGAATGATATCTTTGTACAGACATACTTAACAACGAGTCATTCTTACTACCTGGGACTCGCCGGTGGAGCTTTCCATGCCATTCAAGCCATTAGTGCCAGACCGAAGATGCTCTCTTCTGCAAAGACTAAGGAGCCTCCACCCGAGAGTAACCCACAAACTCCCACTACTACAGATGACCAGAAGAAGGAAACAGAGCCAGCAGACGAGGCAGAAATACTGCCACCAGAGCCAATGGAATCTGAAACGACTACTAATCCCATAGAGTCAACAAAACCAGAGCAGCTAGCTCCAACTCCTCCAAGTGATATCACTGATAGTATTCTCACAGAACAACAGGAAAAGCCTGAGCCAACAGTTCAACAAGAAATAAAATCACAGATAGGGGATAACACCGAACCTCCGAAAAAGAAAAGGAAGAAGAATCTTCCTCCTCAACCATCAGAAAGCATGGATATTCCATCCGTTAACAACAACCCAGATCCTGTAGTCACACCTGCAGCCCATCCAGCAGAAGAGACCACAGACAAGAAACAGACCGAGAAACTGCAAAATATCAGCAGAAATCTTAAATTTCTTATTAAAGGACTTTCAGAAGATTCCAAAACAGAGACTTAGAAGAAAGAACTCATAGCTATTGGTCGACATCCAATCAGAGTGGAGCAGATGAAGAAGAGGCGGGGCCAAGGATACAAGCTCCTCCCCCTCTTTCTGATCATACTGCCAGATAGCCCAGTGAACAGGGACTTCTACAACATCAAGGAGATTCTCTCTACAAAAGTCCAGATAGAGCGATTCAGAGGAGGTCGCTTCGACATACAGTGCTTTAGATGCCAAAAATTTGGCCATACTCAAAAGAACTGTTCTGCCGATCCTGCCTGCATGAAGTGTGCGGGGGATCACTTCACATACAAATGCACAAAACCAAGAAGCCTGTCAGCCACTTGCATTAACTGCAATGGAGCGCATCCCGCCTGTTTTACAGGCTGCGTTGCGAGACCAAGCCGAAAGCCACTACCAAAGAAGAAAGAGCACAGGAGTGCTACTGATACTGCAACCAGATTTCTGCACATCTTCCGAGAGATGCAGGAGCTACTTCAAAACGAGGAGCTAGTCCAGCTTCTCCGTTCTCTCCTACCTGAAAACAAGACATAGGGACTATACCTCTCCCACCAAGCCATCTACACCTTTTTGATAAAGACATTATTCCAGGCGCCTACGGGCACTACTACAGGTGAAGAAGTGAAGTGTCCGCTTCGCGGACAGGGACTTCGTACATAACCTCAGCCTAAGCCTAATAAGTATGTCAGGCTAAACCTTTCAAAACTAGCAAAATCTGTCTAATATTTGCAATTTTAGTTTGTAGTTAATTACAGTTCAGACGGGCAAGCCACGTAAAATTATTTCAACGTGTTAAAGAAAATTCTCAATTTTGTTTATTGATTATATAGTTTATTTTCAAACGAATCAGCAACTATAATGACGAAAAACATGACAGTTATTTCAGAATCTTAACTTTTTGATATTAACTTTGAAATACCAATATATTCTACAAAACTAGAATTAAAAATCAAATTTCCCTTAGCAACTTTTATCTGAACCTCTTTTGAGGTAAATTTTTTTAAATTTAATTTTGGATATATTATATAATTCACCACTTTCAATAAGTATGTCATTCCAGTCCAAGCCTTTGCAGAGTGCGGTTGTATTATAACCAGCTCTGTGCGAATCATGTCTCATCGAACTGCTCGCGGCGGAAAGGTTAGCCCTACCGCCCACGGANCATATTAATATATATGCTTAATTTTTTTAAGAATAGTGGTGATCAAAATCATTTAAAAATTAAGTTTATAAAAGAAAAAATAGTACTATATGTTTACTACCACTTTAAATATGAAAATAAAATTTTACGCCAAATGCGTAAAAGTTGGCAGGTATGTATATATTAGATGGAAGCATATTTGGATGCCAACTGCTCCGGACACGCCAAAATAATTAAAAAAACGATAAGTATCTTCAAGTAAATTTTGCAAATATTCGTCTATTTTTGCTAGTTTTTTAATAAAAGTATTGATTGTCCTAAGTACTATAAAGTGGTGAATTATATAAGCCTATGAATATTTAGAAATAGTGTTGGATAAAAATCTACTAAATTGAATTTATTAAACCAAGAATCCCAATTGATGAACTACCACTTTAAAATACATATTTGCTGTCCGGAGCAAGTTGGCGTCTCTGAAAGGTGTTAAGCTGTACCCTATTTCTGTTTAAATAAACCTTAGTATGTAATATTTACTAGTACTATAAATAGGTCCTTTTATTATATAGGTCCTTTTATTTTTATAGGTTGCAGCAAGTTTGAACGGTATTAAGGTACAACAAGTTCTAAAATCTTTCACATTTTAAGTAAACGAGTTCTATTTATTACTGGTAGGAGATTTTAGCTATTAATTACACACACTTCGAAATGTAGATATTTCGAGAACATAATGCATGTTTTTATGGTTCAGCTTGACCAATTAAAATGACAATGTAGCAACGGTGAGGACAGAGCCCCAAACCAGCATTTCGCTCAACAATCTTTTACTTTTCTTATTTAAAAGCAGTCATCCATCTGCTTAAGACTTGATTCTCTAAAAAAAAGAGCTAAAAAACAGCAATAGGAAATATAATTAACTGGTTTTCAAACTCTTTCAAACTAAAGAAGGAATTCGGGAGAGTCCATCATTGTTTTGTTGCTCAGAAGCTAACGTTAATAGATTACGTAGTTAGTTGATTGAGTAAGCGAGAAATGATGAAAGCGGTTAGTGAGCACTATTCAAATCAATAATTGAATTAACTTTTTCTTCAAAATCCAGGGTCAGTAGAAAAAAACATTCTATTTTTTCTTATGAAATTTCTATTCATATCTTATTATTAGGACGTTAGTATTGTGTTTTGACTTTTAAAAGCGTGATTCATTTTTAATCATCACCTCCTACATCAGAAAGCCTCCACACGGTTTATTATAAATAGTCTGCGCTGACTATTTAAAAAGTGAACCAGTTGTTCACATCAACCCAAAATCTTTTTTAAAAATAATTGAGAGAAATTTATAATATATATTTGAGAATTGAATCTGTAGTGGTTGACAAGTAAATAAGACAAACCAATCATATTCATAAATTAAGCAAATTTTTTAGACATATATTTGCTATCACTTTCTTATTTTTACTAAGTTTTGTATTAAATGGCTATTTTGTAAACTGGTTTACCCTCATAGTGGTTTGATCGAACTACCTACAAGAAACTTTGTAGAGGTTTTCATTTATAGGGAGAGTTGGTTTGTCTGTTTATATTACATTATTTGTGTTTAGAACACATTGTTATAACTTTATTTATAATTTTTTTTAAATATAAAAGCTATTTAATGAATCGAAGAAGATGTTTTGTAATGATACCGTAATAACATGTGATATTATTTGTGCTTTTTTTCAAGTTGTTTTAACTTTTTTTCTTTACAATTTGTTGGACGTACTAAAAACAATAAATGTTTTCACACTGTTTCTACATTAAAGTGCTTGGTTATGGTATCAAAATGATCGTATGTCTGTTTATGCATAGCTGCCAACAATTAAGGATTGCTCGTAGCATTTAATTTTAATATTGAAAGTGGTAATGAAGTTTCTTTTTAATACTTGGAATGATAAATTTAATTTATTATAAATTTGACAACCACTAAATGCAACTAAATGAACCTTGTATATGAGAGCAAACTACATGAATGAAAATGAGTGCAAACCATAGTCGCTCGCACCATTGTTTCGCGCCATTTACAATTACATTAAACTTAGTCCACTTGGAAAATACCTCTTCAGAAAGAGCGAAAGTTGAGAGTTCTGATTTATGTAGCATTATTAGTGCTTTTTTTTCCCCTCGTGCTGTTTTAAATTTGTCTTTAACAATTTGAATGATCTTATTGTGTATCGACTTTAGAGAATGTGTTTCGTTATAGTATCTAATCGATTGTATATCTGTTTCTGTAACATTATTCGTGCCTTTTTTTCTTATTTTTACGAATCGTTTGGTATATTAGAGAACATAAATCTCAAAAAACTTTTTTTTGTTTGAAAAAAAAATATTTTAATGTCGAAATTATTAAGAAAATGACTCACACCAACAATGATGATATTAAGGATCGTTCAAGGCTTGTAAAGCATTAAATGTGCTTTATTTTCGCGATGTTTTAACTATGTCTTTACGATTTGAAAGCTCTTAAATGTTCTTACCCTATTTCTACTTTAAAGAAGGTGCTTCGTTATAGTACCGAAGCGATTGTATGTCTGTTTCTGCGACATCATTTTCGCTTTTTCTTGTTCTTCTTTTACGAATCATTTGATATATATTAAAACACATAAATTACACAAACAAAAATTATTTATTAAAAAGAAACTCTGATAATGGAATTAGTAAGAAAGTGACTCACACCGATAATGATGATATTGAGGAGCCTGTCAAGGCTTGTGCGCTTGAAGATTGTTTTCCCGGAATTTTGCATCAGCTTGGTGTCTCGTCCGGCAAATATGACGATTCCGTAGCACCAGCGTGTGTTCCTCAGAACACACCCCCTATACAGGATTTTGTCGTTGTCAAGGGAATATGTCTCCCCTTCCCATTTCAATGTACCTTCAAACTTGCTAAGATTGTTGTTGGGTGGCTCACAAATGATATCACCTGCAAACAGAATAAAAAATGATTAATCATCAATCAACCTTTAACATTTTGCACTCCTATGTCATTCTGAGTATCACCATCTACATCGGAAAGCCTCTACACGGTTTTTTGTAAGTAGTCTGCGCAGACTATTTAAGAAGTAAACCAGTTGTGCGCATGGGCCCAAATTTTTTAAAAAAAGTAACTGGGAGAAATTCATCATATACATTTGAGAATAGAATATATGATGGTTGACAAGTAAATATGACATACTAATTACATTCATAAATTCAAAGAGATTTTAGCATATACTTGCTACCACTTTTTATTTTTACAAGATTTTCGATTACATGGCTCTTTCGTTAACTGGTTTACCTTCATAGTTGTCTGATCTGACTACTTATAAGAAACCGTGTTGCTCTGAGGCACCAGGAACAGTCACCTTTCTAAAATAAAAACTTTTATACCTTAATAATTAGCAACCACATTATTTTAAGAATTTTAAAAATTATGTAAAAATACTGTTTTGTGCATATATCAAATGAATTAGTGCTTATATTAGTTCAAACAGCATTCTACGGTTTGTATGAAAATTTTTTTCAAATAGTAACAAATTTCATGTTTAAAAGTGAGATTCATAGTTCAATAAATTTGACTTAAAGTTATTTTCCTAATCTCTAAATGCAAATCATGCGAAATTTCAAATAGAAAGTTTCACTAGAGGGTTTTAAAGTGCCGTTCTTACTGCACTGCTGAAGTGATTTGTTATTCTGTGCATTGATTTGTTAGTTACCAAGGATGGGCCCGAAATGGATCTGCGCAAGGTAATATTATACTGGATAATTTTAAAAATTGACCATAAATAGTTTTAGAAAGTAGGTGCTTATTTAAGAAAAAATATAAAATAGAAAAGAGAAACATAAATTGCCTGTTTTGCAAATAATTTTAGCCACAGATTTGCACGAAATGGATTAGCACATGGAAAAATTATATAAATTATCAAGGAAAAAAATTTTTAATAGATAATTTTAACACGGATTTGCCCGAAATGGATTTGCACATGGAAAAATTAACAAAGAAAAA